AAGTCACTGTCACTGTCACTATCACACCCTGTTGATCATTGATTTGCTTGAGCGGGCGACAGTAACGTCTCCATTCATCCCTGTCACGTGCTAGTGTAGCCCGATGGCATATTGGGGGCTCTTTCAGGGTCAGAGGAATGAGGACCATCTTTGTTACTGTTTTTGGCATATCGAGTACACCCCGGGTAGCTTGCCAGGCTCTGTTGTGCGGGTGGGATACTCTTGGTAGTTTGCCAGGCTCTCCGAGAGGCATGGAGGTTTTTGGGGAAGCCTCTAATCACCTTTACTAATTTATTGGCCAGAAAAAATGGTTTATTCCCTTAATATATAAATCAACGTAGACGACGGACAACAGGCAGATCGGGCGATAGTTGCCACTGTTGTGGATGTCTCCCTTCTTGTGCAGTAGAACAGTCTTGCTGGTTTTCCATTGGGATGGAACCTTGCATTCAGACAGGTAGCGTGTGAAGAGCCGAGCCAGTGTATTGATGAGTACTGACGGCAGATTTTTCAGGTGTTCGGGTCTGACCTTGTCTGGGGCCAGGAGCTGTTCGCTTCTTTAACGATGAAATGGCGTGTTGGATTTTGGAAGGGAGCCATCCTGTGGAATTTGGTATGGGGGCAGGTGGACGTGGCTATTGAAGAGATCCAAGTAGAAGTCATGGGTAATCTTCTCCATTACCCTTCTAGAAGATGTGATAGATCCATCAGGACGTCGGAGGGCAGTCATCTTGGTCTTGTAGTTGGCGAAGGACAGGCGGTGTTGCAAATGTTTTTACCGGCTTCTGCTGCATCAGCCAGCCCTCCTGCTCTTTTCTCTTTGAGTTCTTCCTTTATTGCTTCTCTGCACTGCTTTTCGAGCTTGGACATTAGCTTGTGGTTGCCTGAGGCTCGCGCCAAGCCACGTTGGCAAATGAGTTCAAGAGTTTCCGAAGACAGCGTTCTTTGTGGCTTTCTTTCTCTTGGCATTTCGCGCACAATCATGGAGGTGCTAAAACAGTCGATTGTATTCTTCGTCGATGTCATCAGTGACAGCATCTTCCCATGTTGCTGCAATAGTGCCAAAGAGCTCCCAGTTGGTGGTCATTCTGGGAGTTCTATTCTTAAACTTTGCAGCCCTTTCTCCCTGCTCTGTGAAGTAGAATTTTGCATGAAGGAGACAGTGGTCCAATCCTGTTTGGAATTTTGGGACAACAGCAACAATTTTGGGACAAAAACAACATTCCATTTGCTCACAACGGACCGAACATTTCCGAATGCAGCAGTTATGTGTACCTTGGTCGAGAACTCAACATCCCGAACGACCTGGCATCTGAGCTGCGCAGGAGGAAGAGAGCAGTGTGGAAGCCTTCAAGAGCATCAAAGAAATAGCTAAGAAGACAAAGAACCTATGGCTCTGGGCACCTCTCTTGAACTCCATCATTCTCTCTGCACTAACTTATGCCTCAGAAACCTGGGCTCTACGAAAACAGAATGAGAATGCTATTTGTGTATCCCAAAAATGAATCGAAAGAGCTGTGCTTGGAGTATCACGCTTCACTCAAGTGAGAAAAGGAATCCGGAGTTCTGACCTCCATCAATGATTGAGAATCAGGGACGCTGTCTGTTTGCCAAGGTGTAGAAAATCAGATGGGCTGGACATGTAATGTTATTTGAGGATGACCACTGGACTAGAGCCGTTACTGACTGAATTCCATGGGATGTCAAAAGAATGCATGGCTGCCCACCTACGAGATGGTCAGACTTTTTCGTCAAGAACGTGAGGCTCTTCGTGCTCCTGGAGTGAGCAGACGCAATTGAGCTACACTCACAACAGGGACAAATGGAGATGTTACTGGTGCCCGTTCAAGCAGATAGATGAGTAATGGGATGTCAGTGATCAAGTTATATAAATCAATAAGGAACATAGTCCCACCATATTTGGGAACAAGAAATTTGAAGACAGTCTGGTGGGATGGGGCTGGGGAGAGTCATCTCTGCAGTTTGAGTTTGGAGAGGCAGAGTAAGCTAGGACTGCAGAACAAAGCAGAAGGAGGGGGAGTCAAGGAGAGGAAGAGCCCAAGAGGTCTGTGAAGGGACCTCGAACAAGATGGTGTGTGGATAAAAATCTCAGGACAAGGCAGAGAGCTGCCACTAGGAGCTGTTTGAAGAACCCTGTGGGCTCACACCAGGGTGCCGGGCGGCTTGCAATCATCCCAGAGCTCAGAACCCATTCAGCAGAGGGTGGGCAGCCTGATCCCGGACTCACTCCTTAATTGTAGGCTACAGGCCTCAGGGCCACTTCCCACACCCCAGAGCAAAGCTCCAGAACTGGAGACGCTGTATGAGTACTCACTTCCGGCTAGCACCAGCAGCAGTAATATGGGAGAACAGGACACAGGCACGCGTATGGTATAATTGCTGTATCAGGCAACTATTAAATGGGTAGAAACAAAAATATATCCTGTAAGTAGGCCCACGGCCCGCAGATGAAGAGATCCTGAGGGACTGCCACCCGTACACTTGGGGTGTGCGCACGGGAGAAAAAGCAGCAGGATGGGATTGAACATATTGATGAAGTACAAAATGTATTAGATTTATTGAGCAAGCCAGTGAGATTTTGAAAGTAGAGCAGAAATATAACAAACTCTGCCAACCATTTTTTCCAAAGAGGTCAGAATTGATTGCCCAGATCCCCAACTTCTGGGTAACAACATTTTTCAACCATCCACAAAACATCTGCGCTGCTTGGTGAGGGGATAAAGAGGCACTCCATTATTTGACAAGAGTTGAAGTGACAGAATTTGAAGATATAAATCAGGTTACAGAATAAATTTTTATTTTGATGAAAACCCTTTGAAAATAAATTTTTTTCCAAAGAACTTAATTGGAATGAGAATGGTGATTCATCTTCAAAGGCCACTGAAATCAAATAGAAATCCTGGAGAGGATTTGATGAAACATTCAAGTGAACAGAAGCCAGCTGGAAGAGACAGCATGAGGAACCCCAGAGCTTTCTTGCTGGGTCCACTGACCATTTGGAGGCTAGTGCAGATGAGCTCGGCATGGTTATCAAACGGGTTAGGAGGACTGATCAATGGTTGGAATCAATCACAGTGTGTGTGGGGTGGAGGGTGGGTAAGACAGAGAAGAGACTGATGTGATAATAATAGCTGGGAATGATCACTCTGGACAAGATCTGAGTGTTAAAAGTAGGTAAAAGGATATTCTTGATAACCTTTCAGTATCAATATTGCAAATCACAATGCCCAAAAAGGGGTGAGGGGGGAGAGAGAGAGAGAGAGAGAGAAAGAGAGACAGAGAGAAGAGAGGGAGGGAGGGAGGGAGAAGTAGAAGAAAAGCACCTGCCATAGAGGCAGGCTTGGGGATGGGGGATGGGGGAAGGGAAGATTGGGGGAAACCTGGGGACACTGTGGGAAATGTACACTGGTATAGGGTTGGGTGTTGGAACTGAAACCTAATCATGAACAGCTTTGTAAGGGTCTGTCTCACAGTGATTCAATAAAAAAATAGTTTCAAAAACAAAAAAAGGTGATATCCGGTCAAACCCATTACAGTACTACTTGGTTCTGACATGGATGATGAAGACGGGGAAAGAGAAGATGATGATGATGATGGTGATGATGATGATGATGAAGAAGAAGATGGATTGGAAGATATTGATGAAGAAGGAGATAAAGATGAAGGTGAAGAAGATGATGATAAACAGGGAGGAAGGAGAGGAAGGTGAAGAAGTTGACTAATGAAACACTGATGGATTCCAATCTTTAAAAAATTTTTCTTCAGTCCCTGGGAGCAAGTTGCAGTCTTTTTTCTTTTCTCCCTCCTCCCCGACCACCCCCTCTCCCTGTGCTCAGTCGCCCTGTTTTTGAGGGCTCTTCTTTCTCCTTTACATCATGGTTCTCGACTTAATTTAGGGAAATGCCTTGAACAGAATTCAGTGGGGAAAGAATCTCTACTGATTTCTGTTCCAAATTAGTTTTTATCACTTCTCATGTCAACACAGACTTTATGGAATCCACAACACCGTGCACTGTGGGACAAACAAAAGACCTTCTGTGCCCTTAGCTTGGCTGGAAGCTGGAGGGGCTGGGCCCCTGTGCAGTAGTGCAGAGAGAATTCTAGCTCCCCGCCCCCCTTGCTTTCTCTGCATATTGGGCTCAGAGATGACACTGTATCTCTATGTGAGTATGGACAGTTAACATTTACCAACATGTATTCGTCTACTTTTTTTTGTTTTTAAAAAAAATTAAAAAAATGGGGTTATAGGTCAGTAGAAGGGTGGTTTAAGACGTTTGGGTGGGTTAGTGGGCATTTTGACAACCTGGCTTTTGGCATGTTTAATTGTGATATTTAATGGGCATCCTTTCAGTTTAAGGTGACACTTTTAAATGAAAATTTAAAAAAACCCCATTTTTCATAAAAATAAGTAAATGTATTAAATTCAGTATTATTATTGACAATTGTAAAAACATTTTTTGTGAATTCTTGAAATTTTAATTTTTATTGGTATTGAAATGTATTTGTTCCAAGGAGAAGAAACATAGTTGGGAATAAGACCTGATTTTATGATTTTTTAGAGCTATGATTTTATAATTCCTGGCATTTTGAGAATTTACTGCTCCCTAATCTCAGAGTGATTTTTTGGTTTGGTCTTTTGGGTCACATCTGGCAGTGCTCAGTGCTTACTCTTGGCTTTGTGCTCAGGAATCACTCCTGGTATGCTCAGGGGACCATAGGAGATGCCAGAGATCAAACCTGAGTAAGCCACATGCAAGGCGTGTCCACTGTACTATCACTCCAGTACAATCTCAGAGTGACTTTAATTTATTAGGAAAAGAGATGAAATGATTGGTTTTTAAGGGTTTTTAACTCACATTTCTTTTGATAGGATAAAATTTGGTAATGCCTATTTATATTTGAGAAAAATAAAATTATAATACATTTCAACCTTATAGTTAGTAGCTCTTGAATTAAATTTTTTTCTTTTAATCTTTCAGTGAATAACCCTATACCTTCCAATTTGAAATCAGAAGCAAAAAAGGCTGCTAAGATTCTAAGAGAATTCACAGAAATAACTTCCAGAAATGGCCCTGATAAGCTCATTCCTGGTAGGTAAATAGAAGACATACCATACATCTCTGACTTACTTTGTGTTGCCAGTTTCTCTGTGTACCCTCACTTCCAGCCAGCACCCTGACCCAGCCAGTCCTCAGCTTGTGTCCTTGTCAGCAGCCACCCAGTGTCTCTTGGACAGTACTGGTGTAACTTCTGTCCTTCCTCTCGAGTCACACCAAGACTTTCCAAGACCCTTGCCCTCTCCTCAGAGTGTGAGACTTTCTGTATTTGTCTTGCAAATCCATCAGATAATTCATAAATACGTTGAATTTTGTTCTTTCTCTTTCTAGACAGGTATACTTTATAATTCCCAACATGAGAGTTGTTAGTATTCCCCGAGTCCTAAATACCAGCCCCTAGAGCTACTGCCTCTCCCCTTGGAAGCAGTCTGTTCAGGACTGGAGATTTTTAACCTGTGTTTCAGGGATTTCCCCCCCCCCACCCCACCCCTTTTACTCCAGGGGATAAACCCAAGGTCTCATATATATAAGGCATGTGCTTGCAGTGAACCATGTAACTGGGACTCCGGTGATTTTTTTTTTTGAGCACTAAGAAGTGCCCAGGGGGGCTGGAGCAGTAGTACAGTGGGTAGGGCACGTGGCCTTGCATGTGGCCCACCTGGGTTCGATTCCCAGCATCCCATATGGTCCCCTGAGCATCACCAGGAGTAATTCCTGAATGCAAAACCAGGAGTAACACCTGTGCATTGCTGAGTGTGACCCAAAAAGCAGAAAAAAAAAGTGCTCAGGTTCTGTTCCCCCTCTGTGCTTAGACGTTGCTCATGGTAGTGCTCAGGAGGACCATGTAGTGTTGGGGGCTGAGCATGGCCTCCTGCATGCAGAGCATGTGTTCAGTGCTCATCTGGTCCCCCGACCCATCTCAGAGAAATCTTTCTGTTTGGTTTGGTTTTGACTTTCAGGGCACACTCAGCATCGCTGAGGGCATGTTCCTCACTATGTGCTCAGTGCTCACTCCTGGCTGTACTGGGGGAATCAGATACACAGGGCCAGGAAATAAACCAGGGCCAGCCACAAGCACGGCAAAGGCTTTTCCCCTTGAACTACATCTGATGCCTCAGGTCATTTTTGTTTGTTTTGGGCCTTACCCAGCGTGCCTTTACTCTCCTGGCCTGCTGGGGGCGTGGGATGGGGGAAACAAACCATATGCAGAGCCCGAAAGAATCAAAGCCAAACTGGCTGCACGCAAGGCAAGCATCCACAAGACTTGCTATCTCTCAAGACCCTCAGGTAATTTTTTAAAAAAATTTTATTAGTGAAACACCATGAGGTACAGTTGTAGACTTAACAAATTTTTGTGCTTGGGTTTCAATTATACAGTGATCGAGTACCCATCCCTCCACCAGTGCCCATTCTCCACCACCACGGATCCCATTATCCCTCCCCCTATTCCCCCCTCCCCCCATCCCACCCTACCTCTGTGGCAGGGCATTCCCTTTTGTTCTCTCTCTCTCTCATTTTGGGTGCTGTGGTTTGCAAAAGAGGCATTGAGTGGCAATCATGTTCGGTCTATAGTCTACTTTCAGCATGCATCTCCCATCCTGGGCGGATCTTTCCAACACCCTTTATTTGGTGCTCCCTTCTCTATCTGAGCTGCCTTTCCCCCTAGCATGTGCAACTAGCCTCCAAGCCATGTAATTCTTAAACTGTAGGATAACAACTGTGGCATTCTCCTCTGCCACAGGGAGCTTAGGTTTTTAGGGCGATACCCATCACAGTACTCCTGAAGCACCTCCATTCCTCTGTGTTTATTGGAATGTAGCTCTAAACATTTTAGGATGACATTAGCATGTCCTGTTTCCCTCGCCACAAGGAACTCAAGTTTATTAAGGTGCTTCTGAGGCACTTCCATTCCATTGTGTTTATCTGTAAACTTCCCTTTGCTCTCCTCCCCACCCAGTTAATCAGCTTTTCCCCCTAATCAGACTCTGTTCACTTGTAAGGTCAGATTCCTCAGAGATCTATGATTTTATATGTATGAGTGAAATATTGCCTTTCTCCTCTCCTTGTCTTTTTTTTTAAATTATTTTTTATTTATTGGCGGAATCGTGGTGGCTGGTGCTACATCTGGCAGTGTTCAGGGTATTTTCTCCTCACTCTAATTCAGGTGCTCGTATATGGTCTGGGGAAGTGAATCCAGGTCATCTGTGTGAAACTTAGCACTTTACTAGCTGTGCTATCTCTCCAGCCCTCTCCTTATGTCTTTTGAATAGTTTACTTTGAAGCATTTTCCTTTTTGTATAGATATAGGAAGACAGTTAATATTATGCTTTTGTAACTTGGGATTTAATTGGCTTTGAATATTATTCACTCCTGGGCATCTACTTTCTCAATTTAAGCGTCAGTTGCCCTTAGTTCCTAGCCCCCTAAAAGCAGGGTTCCGACAAGGGATCCAGGGCAAGCTGTGAGCTACCCTGGCATTGAAATAGGCCAGGCCAGAGTGCCACGATACTCAACTGTAAGTTTAGAGCTTGGTCATGGACAAATGTTGTCATGATCCAAAAAGTAACGATGAGATTAGGGCCCTGCTAGGGATAGGAAAGACTAATCTGGCCTGAGCATTGTAGTCTGAGATCAAGATGACCCCAGGAGAGCGGTTCTATAAACTTAATGTATCTCTTACTGTGTCCATACAAAATGATTAATATTATGGATGTTTTTATATGTTTTTTGGACTAAGGAGAGGAGAAACACACCCATATTTGCCTTTAGGCCAGTCGTCTTGCTGGATAAGAATCTGTCCTGGAAGTAGCTTCTCCTGAGGGAAGGACCTTACATCCGCTGATTGTATAATGATACCTATGTGTAATTGTTACCGCAACCCCTCATGCTGGGGGATTTAACTAGGTTGTAAGAGTGGGCTGGGGAATCCAAATTCCAGAGCCAGAAGGAGAATGAAGGGGGATCGAGGAGGAGAATGAAGTAGCATGGGAGAGGAAGAAGCTGGAGGAGAATGAGAGAAAAATGGAGATTGGAATGGAATAAACTTCAACTGACACCAACCAGCCTGGCCCTCATTCCTTCCTTCGCCTGCCCATTGCCATCTACCTTCCTCGGGTAGGGGAAGTGGCATGAGTCTACCGAATGCAGGCGGCGGGAGAGATAGACTGCTGCTGTCTTTTTGTGTTTACACATTAAACAATTAGGCTGCCCTCATAAAACCCACATTTTGTTTTCACTAAAAAGAAAATTGGAAAATTACTCAGAGACCATTCTATTTTCTTTTCCCCGGATTTGGGTGGATAATATATAAATGCATGCCTAATATTCCAAGTATGTTCATTTAAAAATACGCTTTTGTTATACCTAATGTTTATAAGTAGAGGCAACACTAAATATGAAACTCTGAGATGGATTTCCTGTCAACTTCTGGTTAGCAAAACAAACCCATGTGATGTGTAGTACTGCTTTTGAGCTCGATGCCACATAGTTATACTGTTTATTTTTTGGGGGGGATGTATTTTATTTATACTATTTTAAGAGACAAAGCTAATGGTCACTTAGGGTACTGCCTGAGAAGTCAGATGAGTTTCAAACACCTTAATTACAGACCACTCCACAAGCGTGTTAGCTTTTGCCTGAGAGTCTGTTATTACATTTACGTGGTTTGCATAACTATGTTAGAAATTTAATGTTTTTCTAGGGACAACTACAAAATTCTTTTTGTGTGTGTTTTGGAGTCTGCTTTGATATTTTAAAGAGAATATTTGACAAGGGACCAGATGGATAGTATAGTGGGTAGGGATCTTGCCTTGCACACAGCAGGCCCAAGTTCAATCCCTGGCACCCCAGATGGTCTCCTGAGCCCACCAGGAGTTATTCCTGAGCACAGAGCCAGAAGGAAGCACTTAGCACCGCTAGCGTATCCTAAATAAAAATAAACAAAAACAAGAAAATATTTGACTAAAGTGATGATAACTAAAAAATAACTTAAAAACTGTACTGGGATCTAAGAATAATTTCCAATTATAATTTTTGGTTTCTGGTTAATGCATTTTAATTCTTTGCTTTTTAAAGTGTGTTCTAAATTAATTTGACTCAAAATTATTAATTGTAATTCTAGATATCTATGAAATCTCATTCAAATATCTTGTTTATTTTAATTGTAGGAATTTTGAGCATTTGTGCTTTAGCATTTAGCAAGAAAAATAACATTAAAAATATAGGAGAAGAGAAAAACTTCCCACTCATCCATTACATGATCGAGTTATATTGATAGCTCACATGTGCCATTGAGAATTCTAATGAATGGCACTTAGATTCATTAGAGTGAATGAACGAAGCCTATCTTGCCAGCCTCAGAGTATACGGATTCTTCTCACTACGTGTTCATGTGATGAGACATATACTCCAACGCTCTCACCTGTGTTCAGACATGTATTGACATTCTCACCTGCCCATCTGTTGAGGTATGTACATTGACTTTCACCTGACCATCTATTGAGACGTGCATTGACTCTCTCTCCTAATTGTTTAACTTCTGTAGCCCATGTGATTGCCAAAGCAAAGGGTCTTGCAATCCTGTCTGTGATTAAAGCTGGATTTCTGGTAACTGCCAGAGGAGGCAGTGGAATTGTGTTGGCTCGTCTTCCAGATGGAAGTAAGTTGGTAATTCTTTACTTGAGAAGTAAACGTTCCTTGTTCTTTTTCGTTGTTTCTGTTTTGAAGTGTAAGAAGTTTCTTTGTGCCTCCTCAAGCTGTCATCCTAAGGCCTGAGCCCATGAATAAGCACTGTGGGTATCTTGGACCAGGAGGGCCAGCTCCCCTGGGGCTCTGAGAATATTCTCAGAGGCTCCCTGACAGGAGAAATTTCACTTTGCCCTGTGAACTTTCATTGTTTTTCCCCAGAGAAGTGTTCTGACATAGCCCCATAAATTTCTGTTGTTGTGGATGTATTCTTATTTTTCAGTTTTACGGTATAACCATTTTGATTTTTGGAAGTTGATAAGAAAGTAAGGGTAATCTACTATTATTTTCCCCTACTCTTTCCATGAAAGAGTACACAAGAAACAGAAGATTTCCCTTTGAATCAGGAATATATAATTTGTTTCTGGGGCAAAATTAATACTTAATTTATCAGAGATGAGATAAAAATTATTGATTTGAATCCCCAAAACCAATATTTATAGTAATATTTTAAGATGAATGTAGAATGTAACACCATTGTTTCGTATGTTAACATTTGCTTCTCAGTCATATAATTGAACACATTTTTCTGTTAACTGCTACTTTTTGGAGAGAAAAACTGGAACATTCAGTGGCCATAGAAAGATTTGAGTCTCGGGGCCAAATAATGGGGTTAAGGTGCTTGCCTTGTGTGTGGCTGACCCCAGTTCAATCCCTGTGCAGGCACCCTGTATGGTCTGGGGCCCCACTAGGAGTGATCCTTGAGCACAGAGCCAGGAATAAGCACTGAGCACTGCTAGATGAAGCCAAACAAAAACCAAAACAAGACAAAACAAGATGCTAGAAGCATTTTAAAAGGGAACATCTGGGCTGTCACTGGCCAAAGCACTTCACGGTGAGCACCCTCAATGTAAACCGTCTCTTTCTCAAGTCATGGGCTAACCGTCACAGCCCAGTGCCCATTTAGAGCAGGTGGTGGGGTCATCTGCACAGTGCTCCCACTTTTTTTCTGTGACTTCATGGGTAGCACAAGATGGTCAGGGCACTTCAGATGGACGAGTCTGGCAGGAGGAACTGGGTGCTCTGAGAGATACTTGTCTGGCCGTGGGGAAGCTCCCAGCCTTCAAATTCTGAAGTTTTTCTCCCCAACTCCTGGTCGCAGCTGTTCACTCTGCAGAGGGTGATTCACAAACTGCCTGAATGAGGCCCAGCAGATTCCCTGGGACCCTCGCCAGATCAGCAGTCTTCAACAGGGACAGCTCCTAATGTAGGAAACAGAGAACAACTTTGGGATTATAAAACACTGATTTTTGTAATCAAACCCCCTTGAGCCAAGAGAGATTAGTTCTGAGTATATAAAGCAATATCCTGTTACCTATAACACATGGTAGCCAGGAAAATTAGGTTTTGGGAACCAATAGGATTTTCAGAAAGTATTTTATCAAGGCTATTCCAACTTCCCCCAACAAATTAAATCATTTTCTTCTGAGACTTGTTTAACAGTTGTTTCTGTATTAGGAAATATGAATACACATAATCCCGAAATGTGCTGTATCATAGCAAATGGGATTATTTGCTTTGTTTTCAAATATAAAGATGTTGATTTTGTTAGAATTGTAATAATCTTTAATTCATAGCCTATTTCGTGTGCTTTACTTAAGGACAATGGGTGTCAAAATAAGTTTTGTTCTCAGAAATTCACACTTGGAGCAGTTTGGTATTGTATTGCCATTAGAACTAATTATAAAAACTCATGTAAATCCTGTAGCTCTTTATAGCTATGATAAAATTTAATGAAAGACAGATTTATAGCTCAAGACTTTGTAAGATGTTCAATGTTGATAGCTGAAATTTTCAAGTGCTGTGCTCTTGATATGGTTAATGAAAGTTTAGTATTTGGGTTTTGGCAGGTTCTTACAGAGAGAGATGTTTATGAGTCTATGGAGTCTCATTTCTAATACCTTTCAAACATTTTTATTTTTAAAGTGATAGATTTGTTAAAACATTTTAAAATAATAGGGCAAAGAATTGTCTTATTATTTTTGTTTTGAGGCCTTACCTGGCAGTGTTTAGGATTACTCCTGGCTCTGCACTCAGGAATTACTCCTGGCAGTTCTCGGGGGACCCTGTGGGATGCTAGGGATGGAACCTGGGTCAGCCAAATGTGAGGCAAGTGCCCTACCCATTACATTTTTGTTCCAGACCCAAGACATTATTTCCTTTACAACTCTTTCATTTGTTTGTTGTGGGATCACACCAGCCCTGCTAAAGGCTTACTCCTGGCCCTGTGCTCCAGGATCACTCCCGACAGGGCTGTCTCATTATTTTGAAGAGAGATACTGTTCATTTGCATTTTAGCATTTTTTTCCCCCTGTATTTATATACCCAGGCATGATTTTGTGTCTTGGCTTTTACTAGAGTGGTCTGCACCCTCAGCCATTGGGATTGCCGGGCTCGGTGGAGGATTCGAAATAGGAATTGAGGTGAGTGAGTGATGGACAGACCCACAGTGGGCCCTCGCAGGTATGTGAGTGATAGACACACCTACAGGGGACCCTCTCTCGATTCATGAGGGATGGACATACCTAAGGTGACTCTCCATAACAACACCTGGAGTTGATGCAAGAAATTTGAGAGATTTCCTGCTGCTCTTGGCCCCTGTAAGCGATTTTCTTTTGTATTCTTTGTGACTATTTTTCAAACAGTCTAATGTCATTGTCTTCATCCCCCTTCAGGAGGTAGCAGCCCTCGCACCACTGCTTCTCAAACCCTTGTTCCCTGCTTCTCCAGAGTAGCCCTCTTCGCAGTCTGATGTGGTGCGACGGCAGTTTAGAGTTTACTGATCCACAGCTCCTTCTCTTCCTGCACAACAGCCAGTGGGAGTAACTGCTTAACCCTGGAGCTAATCATCGTTTGTGCCAGAATCCATTTTTGTCACTTCTAAGATTCAAATTATTTTGAATCTTGAAGTGAAGATTGGCTTCCTATTAGTAAGTTGTGGCTCAGTGGTTGAGCACTTTTCTTGAAGTGCAAGGCTGTGGGTTTGATTCCTAGTACTACCTGGCCCCACTAAGCACCAAGCCGGGAGTAATCCCTGATCACTGCTGGGTGTGGCCCCCAAATAAATTGTTTCATGTTATAATTTGGCTACTAATGACTGGCTTTTATTGAATGGGCTTAAATTTTCACTAGAATATACTTATTTACAGAGCTCTGTTTGCAGGGATCATTATTAGTATGATATTATCTTTCATCTTGATGCTCTTTGCTAAGTGATTGGTAAATTCAATCTTATAATACTCTCAAGTAATTTTCTTCTTAAATTTCAGTCAATATCTTCCTAAGCCCTTCTTTTATGAGTTTGCTCTGTTGCTATAGTACTAAATTCCCTTGGCCTTATCAGTAAGAAGTATTTCCAGTTTATCTTTCCGTTTCTTCTTTTCTAATTTGACCTGATTTACCCCTGCTCCCTAAGTCTGTAGTAGAAAGATAACAGACCTTAGTTTTGGGTATCAGGACACCTTTGCTTGATCTCCCCAGAGACGCCCTCTGGTGGAAAGTCCAGATTCCGGAGCCACACAGGGAGTGTCTGCTTCAAGAGCGGGTGCTGCAGCGCGCAGTCCGGGGATCCGGGGCAGGTTGCACAGTGTGCTTTGGCATCCTCCAAATCATAGTTCTGTGAGAAAAGACGAGAGGCTGAGTAATGATGACTGAATTTCCTTGACTATGAGAATCAGGAAGGGCCTTTGGAAACGTGCTTCTGGAGTCATTGTGCACAATGAGTCTTGAAAAATAAGCAAAAGTCAGAGTCCTATACGCCTGTAAATGAGATGGCTTTTAATCAACAGTTATTCAACGATATGGGCTGCAGGGAACAGCAGGGTTGCTCTGATGCCAGCCCTTGCTGCAGCCTAGCCGGCATTCTTGCTCTGGCAGCACTTCTTCACCTGTCATGGAGGGGAGCAACCTGCCATCCGGGCTTAGTAACAGATTTGTGTATAGGGTAGTACTTGGAATGGGATAAAATATTATCCTTTTTATTGGTGACAACGTTATCTTCGCTGTGCATATTTATGCTTGCCATTTGTAGAATCTTCAAGGCCATCTAGAATTTATTTTTAATTTGCCTGGGGGCTAATTATTAAGTGGTAAAATGCCTCTCCCAAGTAGAGATGAGAAGGTCTGAGACTTGACTTTTTACCTCTCATCCATGACCTGACTCTGCTTCTCCAAGGCCTGTATTGCTTGTCAATATGGGCCAAAGTACCAGGTGATACTCTACGCCCATTCTCAGCCTCCACATAACTAATGACCTCTGTGCTCTGTCAACTGTGCTCCTGGGTGTAACCTAGGCCAGTCAAAGGTTGGAGAATTCATTGTTCTCATTCACCAACCAGTTCCATAAGAAGATTACTGGCCGTGCTCACCACAGGACCGGACCTGCCTCGAATAGCCTCTCTTTGTTTTTTCTTTTACATGGAAAGTTAAAAAATGGTTGATGCATTAACACCTTCACTAGTTATAAATTATAATTTATCTCCCTGATAAGCTAAGTAAAGTGTGCTGTGAACCCTTCCTGTGTAGAAGAATGTGGCCTCCCCAGAGAGCCAGGTTGAGAGTGGCCCAGGTTGAGACCCAGCCCTCTATTTCTTGGTCCAAGGGCCCTATTCCAGCTCATGCTCTTTGACTTGGCTTTCTTGGAGTGTCTAACTTGAGGGAGCACTTTCCATCTCCCCCAAGTCTGATGTGTATAGTGAACTGACCTCAGGAATTTGTGTCACCCCTTCTGGACAACCTGTGGGAGAAGATGCCAGGAGAGTTCCCAGAAGCTGGATGTCGATGCTCGTAGCCTCAACTCAGAGTGGGGTTGCCTCTCCCTCTTGTGAACCCTCTCTTTCCATCACACATCCATACAACTACCATGTAGAATGCAAATTTGAGTGTTTTTCAGTATATGTTCAGTAATATTTATACATAATTATTTTGAAGTAAGTGGGCTTCTACGTTTTAGGTGTCAGATTTGGTCATCATTTTGAATTACGACAGAGCAGTAGAAGCTTTTGCAAAGGGCGGCAACCTGACTCTTGGAGGGAATTTCACTGTGGCAGTTGGGCCCTTAGGAAGGTGAGTTTTTTTTTTGTAGTACTTGTTGAACAGCTCTTGGATAGTAAAGGTTTTAAAATGGTATATTGTTTTTCATTAACAAAATACTTGAGTTAGAATAAAAATTTCCCAGAAGGTTTAATGTTGTTTATAAATAAGAAGTTTGCAAAACACAGCCTGTGTGATAAAATATGAACATTACATAGTCCACACATAAGAAACTTAATATTTTGAAAATATAGGTCAAAAATATAGGCTAGTGTATCTACTGAAATTTGACATAAAATTTACTTTTAAGTTTAAAAGATGCAAGGATAGTCTGTTTTTATTACCTGATAAATAAGTTGAGCATCATTGATCAGAAGAGGAAAATGTCTTTTTTTTTAAATAAGAAAAATTCTAAAAAATAAAATATGCCTGTTACTTGATGTTTACATACAAGTATGTATATTCTTATTCTCTATTCAGGAAGAATAGTACTTTGGTTAATAGAGCAACTTAAACATATTTGAAACCCAGACTGCTTATAAAAGTCACACAAAGTAAATGATCTAAAAGGGTTTTTTAATTTGGGCCAGAGTGATAGTACAGTGGTTAGGACACTTGACTTGTATGCAGGCAGCCTGGGTTTGATCCCTGGTACCACATATGGTCCACTGCACACTGCCAGGAGTGATCACTGAGCGTAGAGCCAAGAGTAAGTCTGGAGTACCCAAAACCAAATGAAAACAGACAAATAAATAGAGTTCGTAGTTCTGGGAAAATTCAGTGTTAAGTGAATCCAGTATACTATGATTCAGTCAGTCCTGGGATGGGTCACATCCTTCTGGAAAGGTTTCTAGGATATGTCCTTCCCCTCAGCCACCCAGCGAGCCTGCACAAAGCAAAACACTCCAACACACTAACGACAAAGACAGTTTTGACTCTGTCTCAGATGGGGCTTCAGGCAGTGCTCTTCTAGGTGTGATACAGAGCCTTGGATTTTGCAGGAATTTGGAGGGAAATGTTGCCCTCAGAAGCTCTGCAGCTGTCTTTACATACTGCAAATCAAGGGGACTCTTTGCTGGCATATCTTTGGAAGGTAGCTGTTTGATTGAAAGGAAAGAAACTAATCGAAAGTAAGTACAAAACATAATTTTAATTTACTTTTAAAGCATGTGATAATAAAATAACACTTCATAGACTTACATATTTCTTTTTACTACAACAGTGTATAACTCTAAGTTTTTATGTTTAAAAAATTCAATATAAAAAAAGTGTTGTGTAGAAGGAACTTAAAATCTAGTAAATCTAAGACTTATAAAGGTGCTCAATGTACTGTCACTTTAACATTTTTAGCAAATTTTTCAAAATAGAATATCACATACTTTTACATGAAAGTTATATATATCTATAAGTATACTTATAGAAAATTTGAAAAAACAAAGAAAAAAATTCTACTCCTTTAAGATGACCCTAATTTCATTTTGCTTAATTGCCTTTCAGCATTTACCTCAGCATAATTTTTCCGCGTAATTTTCCTTTGTTTTTGCCATATAATAATGATAATATGTTCAATTGTCAATTCAGTTTTCCCACTTAGTATCTTTAAGTTTTTGTTCCATTCAAGGGTTCCCTTGTGTATCTGACACCAGATTCAGCTGCAAGCTCGAGAAGATAGGAAGAATAGGGAAAAACAAATTTTCAGAACCCTTTGCCTTTGAAAAGTCTTACTTCTGGCTTTACTAATTTGGGAATGATGAATTAAGGATGCTTTTAGGAACTTCTGATTCTAGAACTTCAGAAGACTATGAAACTAATGCTCATCTAAATCCCAGGTAAACCAAATCAAGTGCACTTCTTAACAAGTGCAGGGCTTCCAAAAATTCAAGGCAAATCGCTAAATAATTTTGATTCACATCAGCAGTTTAGTAAGTTACAAAGCCAGGTCCAGAGAAATAGGACAGAGGGTAAGCCGCTTGCCTTGCATATAATTTGATCCTGGGTTCAATCCTTGGCATATCGTATGGTCCCCGAGCACTGCCAGAAGTGACTTCCTAGCACAGAATAACCCCTGAACCTGGCTAGCTGTTGTCCAACATCACCCCTAGTCACCAAAGGAGATTACAAAGCCCTCTATTGGCACCATTATTCTAATAAACTTAAAAATAATCTATGAGGATGCATGTTTTTATAGGTATATTTGTATATAAGTGCTGATATGTTTGTCTATATGTGTTTGCCTATGTCTATATATACATACGTGTATGTGTGGATATGTGTATGCTTTTTCTCACTATGTGCATGTATACGTGTATTTGTATATGTGGGTACATGTGTGGGTTTACATGTTTATACATATTTTGTGTATTTATTGTATGGATATATGTGTGATGATTTCTTTTATTATTGTTTGAAGGTTGTCCAAATCTCTGTGATATTTGCTTCTCAAAGTGAGTTTTGAGAGGGGGGATGATTCTGGGATAGGACACGGGCCATGGCTTGTAGAAGGAGTTTGAAAGTAAATATATGAAGGGCCCTACCTACTCTCCGAGTAAATGCACACACACAGGACTTTTTTCTACACTGAACTCTAGAAAAGGCCTATATCTATTAAAAGAGTGTCATAATCTGTTCTTCCTCATTAGATTTTATTGCCGAGATATCCGTGCTTACGATATTTTGTTTGGAGATATACCACGGCCTGCCCAAGCTGAAGATCTTTATGAGATTCTTGATTCTTTTACTGAAAAGTATGAACACGAAGGACAGCGCATCAATGCAAGAAAAGCAGCAAAGGAGCAGAGGAAGCCTGTAATGTTTGATGCTCATTTTTCTCTCAGTCACAAGGAAGCTAGAAAATTCTTTTCTGGTTGCCTCATTCTTAATACCTTGCTACACTTCCTTTATAATCTCACTTACAAAAAGTTCTTGTGAAACTGCCGTGCAACTTTGACCTTTAATCTTCACCTATTTGAAGGAGAAATGTTTCCCGTGGTTGGGTTTCTCCGTGCAGAGTCCTTGGCGTTCTACATAGTGCTGCAGAAGTTGCTTGGGAGATCTGTGGACCGGTCAGCGTGGTGCCACCACTGCCTCGTTGGCTTTCCCCTGTGCAGAACAGAAGCACTCAGCTCTAGTGGCCACTTCTGGCTCACTGGCTGCTGAGCTAGTCCTCACACTTGCATAGGTTGTACTTGATGTACTTGCATAGGTTGTCAGTGGTCTGGGGTGAAGGAGGCATCCAGACGCACAAAAAAGCAGCCTGTGGACATGTGCCTGCTGTTGTCTAACCTGCTGTGCATGGTCAATAAGTGCTAGGTTCATCTGTCACATGAGTTCATTCAAAAGCAAGGTCTTACGTGCTCCTAAGCACAACATGAAGCTTTTAAAATTCTGTCTTTTTTTTGTTCCTTCCAGGCTAGAGAGTTACCTCCAGAACCTTTGTCAAGACCCCAGCGTTCCTCTGCACAGGTCCAAGTGAACTCTGATTCTCAAAGTAAATATTTTTGTTGTGATTTAAGTACAGCTCTAATTAATTATTAAGTATCGTTCAAAATAAGCCACTTTGTTAAACTTTGGAGCCAAATAGAAGAACTAATACTTAAGTGAGGAAAAAAATTATGTGTTTAAAAATATCACATCATATATTTAGAAGCCTCCTCTACATGGGGCAGTCTCAGTGAAAACTTGTTTTCATTCAGACAATGACTTTTCAGAGAGAAGGAAATTTACAAGGATATCTAAATTTTATAAATTATAGAAATAAATCTATAAAGATCTTCTCATTTATCATTTTTTTTCTAGCGGCCATTTAGATTTGAAATGGAAAAAATAGAAATTTTTGTGCCAGAGAGATAGAACAGCTGATCGAACTCTATGGCTGAAGCAGGTTTGATCCCCGGTGGCACATATGGTCCTCCGAGCCCTGCCAGGAGTTATCTTTGAGCACAGAACCAGGAGTAAGCTTGAGCACTGCTGATTGTTGCCCCCAAACCTATATATCTATATATCTATATATATAATTTTTAATTTAAAAATTTTAATTATTTTGGGCTGGAAAGATAGCACAGTGGTAGGGCATTTGCCTTGCATGCAGCCGGCCCGGCTGAGCTGGGTTTGATTCCTCCGCCCCTCTCGGAGAGCCCGGCAAGCTACCGAGAGTATCTCGCCCGCATGGCAAAGCCTGGCAAGCTACCCGTGACGTATTCAACATGCCAAACACAGTGACAACAAGTCTCAGAATGGAGACGTTACTGCGCCCACTCAAGAAAATCGATGAACAACGGGAGGATAGCGCTACAGTGCTAATTATTTTAATTTTAGGCACTGTGATTTACAGTACTGATAATGTTAGTATTCCTTACATAAAACATAGTAGTACCACACCCTCCACTGTCCACTTTTCTCTACCATTGTCTCAGTGCCATTCAGCTTTTTAATTACAGCACTGTAGCACTGTAGCAGTGTCTTCCCATTCATCGATTTGCTCGAGAGGGCCGACTTACGTCTCCATTGTGAGGCTTGTTGTTACTGTTTTTGGCATATCGAGTATGCGTCACAGGTAGTTTGCCGGGCTCTCCAAGAGGGGCAGAGGAATCAAACAGTGCAAGGCAAATGCCCTACCGCTATGCTATCGCTCCAGCCAACACCATTATTTTTTCACTGGTAAAGTTTCATTGGTATGTATGTTGTGAATCTTAAAGGGATTTCCTTTGTATGTGAGCTCTTCTTTGGTCTTGTTGCTTGTAATATTCTGTCTCTGTCTTGGTTTTTGTCATTTTGATCACAATGTGTCTTGGAAGTTTTCCATTCGGATCCCTCTTGGGGACCCTTCAGGCCTCTTGAATCTGGGTGCATGGCAGTTCTGGGAAATTTTCATCTAGGACTTCTTGGACTGTTTTTTTTTTAAATTAGTGAATAACCATGAGGTACAGTTACAGGCTTACAAACTTTTGTGCTTGTGTTTCAATCATACAATGATCGAGTACCCATCCCTCCACCATTGCCCATTTCCCACCACCATTGGTCCCAGCATCCCTCCTACCACCCCCAGCCCATCCCCTCCATCCTAACCCGCTTCTGTGGCAGGGTATTTCCTTTTGCTCTCTCTCTATTTTTGGGTGTTGTGGTTTGCAATAGAGGTGTTAAGTGGCCATCATGTTTGGTCTATGGTCTATTTTCAGTCCGCATCTCCCATCCCTAGCGAGTCCTCCTAGCACCCTTTACTTGGTGATCTCTTCTCTATCTGAGCTGCCTTTTCCCCCAGCATGTGAGGTCAGCTTCTAAGCTGTGGAGTGATCCTTCTGGTACTTATCTCTACTATTCTTGAGTGTTAGTCTCCCATTCTGTTACTTTATATTCCAAAAAATAGTGCAACCTTTCTATGTCTGTTTCTCTCTTTCTGACTCATTTCACTTAACATGATACTCTCCATGGTGATCCACCTATATGAAAATTTCATGACTTCATCCTTTCTAACAGCTGTATAGTATTCCATTGTGTAGAAGTACCAAAGTTTCTTTAACCAGTTGTCTATTCTTGGGCACTAGGTTTTTTTCCAGATTTTGGCTATTTGGCTAAACATTGAACATATAAAAGTGCAGATGTCATTTCTACTATACTGTTTTGCATCTCTGGGATATATGCCCAGAAGTGGTCTTGCTGGGTCAAATGGGAGCTCAATTTCTAATTTTTTGAGAAGCATCCATACTGTTTTCCAAAAGGGCTGAACCAGTCGGCATTCCCACCAGCAGTGAAGGAGGGTCCCTTTTCTCCCACATCCGTGCCAATACCGGTTGCTTTTGTTCTTTTTGATGTGGGCTAATCTCTGTGGTGTGAGATGATATCACATTGCTGTTTTGATCTGCATCTCCCTGATGATTACTGATGATAATCATTTTTTCATGTGCCTTTTGACCATTCAGATTTCTTCTTATAGAAAGTTTCTGTTCATTTCATCTCCCCATTTTCTGATGGGGTTGGATATTTTCTTCTTGTGGAGTTCAACCAGTGCTTTGTAAATCCTTGATATCAACCCCTTATCAGTTGGATATTGGGTAAATATCCTTTCCCATTCTGTAGACTGCCTTTGTATTCTGGTCACTGTATCTTTTGAGGTGTAGAAGTTTCTCAGTTTAAAGTAGTCCCATTTGTTTATCTCTGTTTCCACTTGTTTGGCCAATGGTGTTACCTTAAAAGATATCTTTAGCTTTAATGTCATGGAGGGTTTTGCCAATCTTGTCTTCAATGTACCTAATGGATTCTGGTCTGATGTTGAGGTCTTTAATCCATTTTGTGCATGGTGTTAGGTAGAGGTCTGCGCCCATTTTTTTGCATGTAGCTTGGACTGCTGGTTCTTGGTCCTATTGCTCGGGGATTCTGATGATTCTATCATTTATCTGAATTTATCCCATAGTTATCTGGTGTGCTGTTAATTTCTTTGTAGATTTTCATCTTTTGTTGGTTTATAGAGGTTTTCCACGTCTCATCATGGAGCTCACTAATTTTTTCCTCAGCCATTGTCTCTCTACTATTGAGTCTTCATTTCACCATCAAAGTCTTCAGTCCTGTCTCTTCTGGAGGTCATCTCACATCTGCTCTCATGCCTCCTTGAACCTGTACCATGATTTCCTTGAGCTCAGTTGTCCCCGAAGTCTATCTGAGAGGTTATAGGGCTGGTTGGTGCGTTAGAGTCTTCTAGGCTATCATCTTCACTTCTTGGGCTTGGTGGGATTTTATGCAACTTCCACATTGTGTCAACTATTTTCTGGGGTGAACTTTCATAGTCCACTTCCATGAGAGCACTCCTAGGGAATCAGCCCCTGGAGGCTCTGAGGGATACCCAGGATTGTGGTTTTCCATAGGGATATTAGTGTCTTCCGTATGAAGTTGAATGAGTAGAAATCTCCAGTCACGCATTCCAGTACTCTGGCAGTACAAGATGAATTTAGGGCTCCATCTGGTCCCCTTAGAGTCTCTCCTAACTGACAGGGCTGGGAAGCCACTGGGAAGCAGCAGATTGGACAGCCAGAAGATCCTTGGGGAGGGGCTCTGCTGGGGCTTCAGGGTGGGGTCCTGTTGTCCCAGCTCCAGGCTGTGTCTGAAAGAGCTGAGGTGGGGCACTCACCTGTTCACTTCAAATATATAAATTTTATTGTGCATTCTTAGGAGCTCAGGATTTCATAAATTGGTTCTAAAATAGACTAAATTTATAAGATACCAAGTCTTGGATGTTAGCTTTCTTTCTGGTGCTCATGTTTATGGAAGACACTTGAGATTTGCATTTCCTACAGAGAGGTGACAGTAAATGGTCATATGGTAAAGTAGGTCATGTTTCCTGTGTTTCTGCTTATCATGTTTTTATGTACATATATAGCTTATATGTTTATAGTTTGTAGTATATTTATGTTTTCTGATCATTGTGCAAGACGCACTGAGCCTTTGAGAGCACCCATCAGACTCTGACTTTTGCCTTGCCTTTAAAGAGCTGTCAGTCTGGGAGATAAACCCTCTGTGAAAAATAATGGTGGTTTATGGGAGGAGGAGGCTAAGTGCCAGGACTCAGTGCCTAAGTCTGAGTCTGAGAGCCTAAGAAGAGCCTCGGAAGCTGCCTGCCCCTTCATGCTTTGTTCCCATCTTCCCCACTTCCCGTGTTGTCTCTCAGACCGATTCCTAGCAGGGCTTGTACTTGCCACTGTTTGCTACTATCAGGAAGAACCTCAGAAACCAGCTGACTCTTCTTTGTTATCTAGTCCCCCAACCCCCTTAAAAGTCTGTATTCTGTTATCTTGGGATGACTCATTTGCTTGGTCTCATATTTCTGATGGACAACAAGATGTGGGCACTGAATCTATTTTTTACTTCATGTCGAGTAAATACATAAAATTTGACTGCATCTATGTTTCATTTATTTTGGTTTGGGGACCACACACACAGGTGTTCAGGGGCTACTCTTGGCTCAGTGTTTGGGGTTGCTCCTGGCAGTACTCAGGGGACCATGTGGTGCCAGGGATCAAACCAGGGCCTCTTGCATGCAAACTATGTATTCAGCCCATCATCCTATCTCTCCAGCCCTGAATCTATGTTTTAAAATATATAATTCTTAAAACTTCTTCATCAAGACTGGAAGGATAGTACAGCTGGTAAGCCGCTTGTCTTGCATGTAGCAGACCTGGGTTTGATATCCAGTGTCGCATATGGTGTCCTGAACCCCATCAAGTGTGATCCCTGAGTGCCACACCAGAAGTAAGCCCTGCACACCGATGGGTGTGTCACCCCAAACAAACAACTACCACACAGTATTTTCTAAGAGTGACAGCACAGCAGATAGGGTGTTTGCCTTTTATGTGGTTGACCGTGGTTTGATACCTGTCACCCCAGATGATTCTCCAAACACCACCAGGAGTGATCCTTGAGTGAAGAGCCAGGAGTTAGTCCTACACACAGCTGGGTGTGGCAAAAAAAAAACCCAAACCAAAAATAAAAAAAAAAATACTCCAAACCAAAAAACCCAGTTTTGTAATTTTTTTATATCTCCTTGAATTTATCATTTTTATATTAACACATATAGACTCTTTTTTTGTATGTTTTGTTTTGGGGCCCCACCCAGTGATGCTCAGGGGATACTATGGCTCTGCACTCAGGAATAATTCCTGGTGGGGCTCAGAGGACCATAGGAATGCCGGGGATCAAACCCGGGGTGGCTGTATGCTAGGCAAGGGCCCTTCTGTACTATTGCTTCAACCCCCGCCTACAGATGCTTATAAATAGTTTCAAATGCAGTTTCTTTTTTCTTTTATTCATTTATTTCTACTTTCTTCTCTGTCTCAGCAGATACCGCACACTTTCATGCTTATTCCAGAAGTTCTTGTGAATGAATGCATGCTGTGCCTTCACAGATACATATGGTATACAGAGTACACAGATCATATGGTACACAGAGATACACAAATATACATGGTATACAGATACACATGGTATATGGAGATACTCAGATACACTTGGATTGATATTTGTTGTTGTCTCACAAAAATGCTATTCTGTTGTACACATATTACTTTATATATATATACATATATATTTTGGTTGTTATGCTCAACCACACTTCATGAAAATCTTAGAAGTCAACTGATATAGCACAATGACTATTTAATATTTTACGGTACATATTTATAGATTTAGCTACTGTATTACTGATAGGTATTAACTTATTTTGGCCTTTTTTACATGCCAGACAGTGCCACAATTAATATATTTTTAAGTTAATGTATCTACACACTGTCATCTTTTAAAAAAGATAATTACCAGGAATGATTATGACAGGATTAAATAGATTTTTTTTGTATACCCATCTGTCCTCAGGGCTTGCTGCTGTCTCTTCACTCAGGGGTCACTCCTGGCAGTGCTCAGAGACCATATGTGGTGCCAGTGATAGAACCTGAGTCAGCTACAAGCAAATCAAGTACCTAATCCAGTGTATTTTCTCTCCTGCTCCAGAATTAAAAAAATTTTTTTAATCAGACTTGGTAGATTGCTCTTTCAAAGATGTTATGACTACACCAGTCCTATCATTAGTCTCTCACTATAATACTCCCCACTGTAACAGTCTTCATCTTATTCAATCCTGCATCTGTATTCCCTGCCATGTATGTTGGGCCATGTTGGCTTTCCCTTTCCCTTTCATGTATGTTGTTGCCAAATAAAACTCCCACAATACAGATACCTCTTCATATACTAATTCCCCCATACAAACTCCCTAGCATATCCATACCCCACTATGGGTACTCTCTACCATGTACACTCATCATTGTATACATTCTCCACCTTATGTACTATCCCCATGTCCATGCCATCATATTTATTCCCCACCATACACCCTCAGCATGTCCATGCCCTGTCATATACATTCCTCACCATGTACATTTCCCGTCATATACATGATCCCATGTCTACTTCCTACCATGTGCACTCTCCACCATATACGTTCCTCACCATGCACAACTCATCTCATACATGTCATGTATGTTCCCCACCATGTACATCCCCTATTGTATGCCCTCCCTGCCACGTATATGCCCCACCATACACATTCCCCACCATGGACACTCCCTGCCACATGCACCTCTCACGACATACACCCCCATATACATTTTCATCATTATTAGTGTTGAGGCATTTCTCAGTAAGTTTGAAGGTTACTTGTATCTCATTGTTGTCAGATTGCATTTTCATTTTTCTATTAGTGCCATAAGCTTTTTCATATAATGAATTGCTAATATTTTGGATTTATTCTTTTCTGAAAGGTCTTCATTTTACTGGTTCACTCTTTTCCTATAGATTCTTTATTTTCTCAAGCACTTTATGTATTAAATAGGGGTTTGTTGTAACCTAAGTTGCGTTTATTTCTATGTGTACTGTGGATCTTATTTTTATATTTTGCTATATGAAAGTTTTAAATTTTATGTAGGAATAAGCATCTTCTAAATATAGATTTTGTATTTTTCAATCATTTTTATGGCATTCCCACTTTCTATACAACCCTGTATTTAGGATCTAGATTTTCTTGCAGTATTTTTATTTTTGCAGTTACTGGATACTAATACTTCATTGCATTTTTAACATAATTTTATTAATTATTCCCCCTCTAATATTCAATTTTAGTTAAAGTAATAGTATTTTATATTCTATGCTTTTTTAAGGTCTTAATTACAATAACATGTATGTATATGTTAGTTAATTTGACATCGGTAGAATAATCTTTCCATTCTTTTCCCATTTTAGATTATTTTATGTTTTTATAGGATTTCATTGTTTCTTTGCCTTTGTGATTAAATTCACTCCCACGTGTATGATAATTTTGATTATCTGTATTAAATGGGCTGGAGCAATAGCACAGCGGTAGGGTGTTTGCCTTGCACGCAGCCAACATAGCCGACCCGAGTTCGATTCCTCCGCCCCTCTCGGAGAGCCCGGCAAGCTACCGAGAGTATCTCGCCCACTCGGCAGAGCCTGGCAAGCTACCCGTGATATATTTGATATACCAAACACAGTAACAACAAAGTCTCCAGTGGAGATGTTACTGGGCCCGCTTGAGCAAATCAGTGAACAACGGGAGGACGGTGATAGTGACGTATTAAATGGAATATGTTTTATCATTTATATTTGAAGGTGCTTTTTTCTAATAGTTAAAATCATAATTTGCATATGTTTTGTCTTATGTCTTGTCACCTACTTACAATCTAATTTCTGCACAGTTTTTATTCAGGATATTTGGTTTTAGTTTTGTGTTATCAGGGATCAAATTAGGGTTTCCTGTATACCAGCCATGTGCTTTTACCACTTGCCACATCAATTTTTTAAAATTTGCTTTTGTTTCTTCTTCTCCAATTTGCCAATTTATATATTAATATTATTATGTACACAAAATTCTCAGGCTAGTATCTTCAAAGTACAGGTACATGAAAAGTTGTTAAAAGGGTGCTTTAGAAAGTACATGAAGAGCATCAGAGAGTATGTAGATACCTTAGGGGTACATGGAAAATATCAGAGGGTATGTGGGTACCTTAGGGGCTCATGGACAATGTCAGAGGGCCAGAATTTATGAGCCAGAATTTCAGAAATAAATTCTATACCTCTAGCTTCAGACATGTTCTTTATTAATGCTGGCGAAAGCACTCATTTATTCTGAATCACCCTTTCATGTCTGTGCTCAGCGTAGACCCAGACTGTCCTGAATTGTCCGGTACTACTGCCACCCACGTATGAGAGCAGTAACCCTACTGGAAGTGTGAATCCTAATAATGGCGCAGTGAGGGCGTAGTTCTAATGAGCCAGAAGTGCTTTGTTACGAGGTGATTTTCCCCTCTCGGAGAGCCCGGCAAGCTACCGAGAGTATTCGATATGCCAGACACAGTAACAACAAAGTCTCCAATGGAGACGTTACTGGGCCCGCTCGAGCAAATCGATGATCAACGGGAGGGCCTTTTCCTTTCTTGAACAAAGCTGAAAAAAAAATCTAATGGAATTGTCCTCTGAATTTATAACAATAGTGATAAATATTAGCATTAAATATTATTTAAAAGATCACATAGATATTATCACCCAGACAAAAAGTTGACTCTTACTGTTTTATTATTTTATAAGTATTTATTTTTTGGAATAGAAAACTGTTATTGCTTTTATTTCTATATCAGAAATAATTTAAATAATTTGTTTGTTGCAAAGCATCTTTTAGACTCTAGTTTTTATAAGAATCGGCTTTTTTTTTTTTGCCACCAGTATCTTAAAAAAGTAGGATGCTAAAATGGTATTTGAACTTCTGGCGATAGAATTTATCATCCTGTGCATGTGAAATAATTTTTAAAAAGTCTTATTGATATATCTGAAGGGTTTTTTGGTCCGTTTTGGGCACACACCCAGCACTGGTAGGGGCCACTCCTGGTTCTGTGTTTAGGACATAGTTCCTGTAGGAGGCCATGTGGGACCAGGGATCTAACTTGGGCTCCTATGTGCAAGTATGTGTTTAGCACCTGAACTGTTTCTCTGATCCAGTTTGTATACTTCTGGATTATACCAACAGCAGGATTTTCTCCTCTGTCTTATGCTTGGTTTGTTTTTGGCTATATGAGGCATTTCTTTAGATTTAATGCATTATCAATGATAGTGTTTTTAATCAATTATAATGACTTAAACGTATTTTCATAATAAGGGCAAGATTTGGTATTGTTGGATAATTTATATACAACATGCTAATAAGTTTTCTGAATTCCCCCTCTTTTTTTGGCAGATACCAGAAATGAATATAAGCTTTATCCTGAACTTTCTGGCTTTGGTGAAAGACTTGGTAAGTAAAACTATATGTTAAAAATTATTCCTATCAGGGCTGGAGAAAGAGCACAGCGGGTAGGATGTTTGCCTTGCACGCGGCCAACCCGGGTTTGATTCCCAGCATCCCATATGGTCCCCCGAGCATGGCCAGGAGTAATTCCTGAGCGCAGAGCCAGGAGTAACCCCTGTGAATTGCTGGGTGTGACCCAAAAAGCAAAAAAAAAAAATTATATTCATTTCATAATGACTTAAAGTATTTTCATAATAAGGTTGTAATTGGCTGGTTATAAAAATCATGGGAAATGGGAAATTATTCAACAGTCCTTCTTTGATTTGGGATATTCAAATTAATCTTTTAATAAACATTTTACTTCCAAATGCTATACTGTTCTCTTACTCTATTTGAGACCCGGTTGGGGGGCAGGGCTTCCAGGCATCCTTGCCTGGAGAAGCCTCATTCTGGATTCAGTGCTGTACCCTCTCCACTCCACAGAGCGCTAAGGTCTGGCCACGAGGGCCTTTGCTAGCTGATTGTAGGGAAACTGTAGCCAACAACTTCCTACCTACAGCCTCTTTATGTGTGTCCTTTCCATTAATTTCACATTTTTCCCCAGTTTCTTTAAACACCATGGTTTGCAGAGTTGCACATGATGATTTGTCAAAGGGATTCAGTGTGCCAGCACCAATCCCACAATCACTGTCCCCTCCCCTCGACCATTCTCTTCATTTTTCCACCCAGCCGGCACCCATAGCAGGCCCACAATAGTTTATTTTATATTGCTTGTTACCACTAAATTGCTAAAGTAATGATCAAAAAATATTCCAGTAAAAGGAAATTTCTGAAAATTGTTATATCTCACAATGGGGACATTAAGTCCTTGTCTGATTGTTCACTAAGTTTTTGCTGCAAGTCAAGCTTCTGTGTTAATATTTTTGTTAGTTGAGATTAGTTGGCTTCTCCATTATATTCCTACTCAATCTGGTGTGTTCCTGCTGGGATGTGAGTATTGTAGAGTTTGGAGATGTCACTCTGGAAAATCCAGAGCATCTAACAGGGCAGTCTGGCAAAGGCAAGGAGGCAGCTGTTAGGGCGTGGTGGGGTGGGGACTTGGCCCACCCGTCTCCTGATACCATGCTGGAACAGGTATCCTAGGAATTTTTGCGGCTAGTTGATGTCTTTTGAGATTTATTCATGCGATTCTGGAACAAGGCCGGTAGATGAGCTTACATGGTGGAGGTGGTGGAACATGGGTGTAAATTCACACTTTTAAGGAGTTTTTTCTTCATGTTCAAATATTTTTCTGTTTCTAGGGAATAATCCATAAAACTTACTAGGATTTCCTAGGAGCAAAACAATGCTTCGAACTGTCTTCAGTGTACTTTAGAAAATACTCTTTGAAAGAGTTAGCACTGTAGCACTGTCATCCTGTTGTTCATTGACTTGCTCGAGTGGGCACCAGTAATGTCTCCATTTGTCTCAGCCCTGAGATTTTAACAGCTTCTCCTCTTGTCCTTCCAACTCTGCTGTGTTGGAGGCTCTTTCAGGGTCAGGGGAATGAGACGTGTTATTGTTACTGTTTTTGGCATATCAAATACACCACGGGTAGCTTGCCAGGCTCTACTGTGCGGGCAGGATACTCTCGATAGCTTACCGGGTCTCCAAGAGGGAAGCGACCTCAAATTGCTTTTACAGGCACTCCAGGAAATACTGCATCACTCTCTTCCGGGTGCATTATTTTCTAGTCTTTGGATCTTGGCTGTTGATGAGATTACATGGTGCCTGGGTGGTTTGTGTGTGTGACTCCCAAGCTACTGGAAAACTGGGGGTCTGGGTGGAGGAGGCCCAGCCCTGATCCGAGCAGGCTTGGAGATCTCATCCACGGGTCCTGCATACCTGGGTTCCTCTGCGGTTCCTTCATGCATGAGACTAGTCTGAGAGTGTGGAGAGTGACCTTGAGCTGTGGCTGGGTTCTGGAGATTTTCGGCTACCGGGGCTCTGCTTGGGACTCTGCTTGGGGAAAGAGTTAGCAATCACTTATGTGAGTGGAACCCATGAGGGCAAAGCTTCCACTGCTGGGGAGCAGCTACTTAGAGTTCCCATCTCCAAGTCGCAGGACAGTGATGGCTGGAGATCTGACCTTCATATAAATAGATTATCCAGAAAACTAGGTGCCCATTTAAAAAAATTGTAAAAGTATGTCTAAATGCCTCTTAAGCAAAGTCACATGAAGAGAATTCTCTTCTGATGGATTTAAAGTTTCTGGGTGGTTTTTTTCCCTCTCAATTTTATTTTCCCCTTACGCTTTATATAAACACTATGGTTTACAAAGTTTTTATTACAGACATTCAGTATACCAACACCAATTCCACCACCATTGCACCTTCCCATCACCATTATAACCACTTTTCCCCAGCACCCCTTAAGCCTGTCCCTGTAGCAGGCCCTCAATAATATATTTTATATTGATTGTTATAATTTTCTAAAAGAATAATGAAAATGTGTTTCCTTAGAAGAAAGATAGTGAAGATTGTTATATCTCACCATGGAGCTATCAAGCCTTGGTATAAGATTTACCAAAATATTGTTACAGGGTAAGCCTTCTGTGTTGACATTTTTTTAATTGAGATTGGATACTTCCTATAGTACATCCATCCAATCTGATGTGCTACTCCTGGTTTATCAGTGTTGTAGAGTTTGAGCTGTCACTCCAGGAATCCAAAATTTTAACAGGGTGATACAGCTGGAGTTAAATATTTAACTGGATGGCAGATTTGGGCCATGTGTGTGATTGCCGGGGCTCCTGGAAGTACAGGGAGTTGGGGGAGGTAGCCTGTCCCTGACTCTGTGAAAGCCTGGAGATTTTAGTCACAACCCAAATACCTGAGTTTTTCCCAGATTAATTTCTGGGTGAGGCTCATCCCGAGCAGTGAGGTTCATCCAGGAGCACGGTGGCAATTGTGGAGGATGGAGGTTTTTAGCTGCAGGGTCCCTGTTTGGGCCGATGCTGGGCTCACCTGACCCCTCCAGGGTACTTTGTTGACTCAGCCTTGTGCAGGGGCCGGGCGAATCTCTGAAACTTGTTGATCTCACTTGATATTTATTTATGAGTCTCTGGATCATGGCCTGTGAAAGAGCTTCCATGGTGCTGGAGCTGGTTTGTGGACATGACTGGATTTAAGGTTTCTGGCTTTCTCTGGCTTCCAGTTTAGTTTACATGATTTGTTGCACACTTCTGGCCCTTTTCCAGATGATTCTTCTCTCAGGGAACAAAGCTCAAGGATGAGTGTTCTATGTGCAGATGTTCTGTTGGCTTGTGGCTTACCCTGGGCTGTGCTGTGGTCTCGGCTCTCTCTAAAAGGTCTTAAAAATGCATTTTTCTCTAGATTTTTATGTGTCTGCCACTCTTGTTTTGTTTCTTTTCTTTTGAGGTCACATCCAAGGATGCTTAGTGGCTGCACCCAACTTTGTGTGTGGAGGTCACTCTTGCCTTGGAGACCTTCTGCTGCTGGGCTTGGCAAGCCTCCTGCATGCAGACATCCATTCTAGCCCGTTGAGCTATCTCTTCAGCCCTTTAGTTGGTTATTTTGTGGAGAAAGTTATTTCATGGAAGTCATCTCTGAGGCGGGGGTCTTGGGCTGAGTACCTTGGCATACCCACCGGCATCTTCCTGACTGCCCATCCGACTCACCTCTGCTCAGCACTTAGAGGGGAAAGAGGGACCCTTAGCCCCGCAGTGCCTCCTTGCTGTCCTAGTTCCTCTGGTGTTGCCCTTCCCACCTTCTCATCTCTGCTCTATCCCAACTTCATCAGGAAGCTTCAGCTCAGAGTGAAAGTCTGTGATCTTTTGTCTTTATTACTTTAGCATTCATAACAAATATATTCTTTCTCTAATCATTCTTAATAAAATATATCCCCAAATTGGCAAAAAGACAGTAGCAGAAGCAACAAAAATCCTTCAGTTATCAGTGATGCCCAGGATTATAAGCATTCAGTATTATTTGTGAGGTTTAAATATCTCAGTGATACGTACACAAGAGCAATCCAGTTCTCTCTGAAAGTTCACATGACAAAGTAAACCTCATGGGCAAATCTAAATGTATCTGTTGAACACAATTTATGGCTTTGCAACTGCTCAGCTCCTGAGATGTACTGTCAGGAGTGTTTGGGAGCCCTGTCCTCATCCAAGCTTTCTCCCTTGGAATCACAGACCACCTCCAGCTCACTTCCAGGTTCTGGGATGTGAGTAGCAGTGGTGCCCGCTGAGAGTGGGGACAAGTGGGATGCACACAGACAGTGCCCCTCAGCCTGCTGCATCTCTGTAAATAGAGCCACCGATATCTGTGCGAATGGCAGTTGAGATGGCTGTGCTTCTAGAACTTTCTCTAATGTACATAGCTCTCATTCACTTTTCCCATTATGAAGGTGTATCCGGGAAGTGGAAGAGAGCTACTGGAAGGTTTTCACTTGGGAATTGAGGTTAATTGAGATTGAGCTTTGTATACGAAATTTGTAAACAGATTCATTGATACAAACCTTTTCAGAGTGAATTTTCATCAGTTCACATTCTGATCTCATGACAGTGAAGGCTGGTGGGGTTCAGTGTGTCCTCACAGCTCGTGCTGCTGTTGGAGCTCATGCACTTCTGGAGGTGCCTAGAGCCACGTGGCAGGCTTTGCTTGCTTGCATTCAGATACGCAAATATTCTCATTTTTCAGCCCAGTTCCTTAAAATTAGCAAGCTAGTACGAACTGTAAATATATGCAGAATATATTCTGTAAATATATTACAGAAAAATTAATTATGCCAGTTATATCTTTTAATGCAGTCACCCGTTATTACAAGGCCTCTTTCCTCAGGAGGACTGAAGCAGATAGCACGTACTCGCAGGAGCTGTGCGCGCTGCCTGTCCAGCAGCTCAGGCCGTGCGCTTCATTAACATGTTGGCTTCATTTCTGACAGGCAAGAAGAAGTTCTGATCATTGATTAGTACAGCATGAGGGGCTCAACTAACTCACTGGGTTAGAATTTAGTTATTTATGTTGTTAATATATTTGCCTGCACTGAGAGAGAGTCACCAAGCATCTAATTATCTAGTTTATGTACAGCACTTTATGAAACAAAAGTATCAAGTTCCATGCAGCTGAGTACACAGGAATGCCCAGTTTTTCATATTTTCTTGTGAATATATTTCTTAGTAACTTGATGGATCAATTCTCAAAGCTATCTTCCCAATAATATATTAAATTCAAAACATTGTAGACAACCTTCCTGATGTGCTAATGTGAATTTTATCTCTGTTTTGAAAGGATCAAGTAAGCACAGAAATGAAAACATCCCTAAAAGCTATGGGGAAATTCCCGTTAAAATAGCAGAATATATCTGAGCTAGAATCCTCAAAACAGATGACTACAGAGTTTGTTTTTTAAGTGGAATTTTTTATGACATAATCATGAGTATAAATAGCAGTCCTTTTTGAGTAGCTGTGATTCTTGGAGGTCCGTGGCCATGCTATAAAAATGGAGAAAATGTAAAAATTTTATAGTTACTAAAATCAAAACAGCTAGAACCACAAACGTTTGCTAAATACATCATAGAGGATATAATAGTAGGCAGTCTTATTTTGGTGGACTTGGGGAATGAATGTTGCCAAAAATTTGCTATTTTTCTAAAAGGAAAAAATAAGTTTGTTAATGTGGTGAAGTCAGGCTGGCCCCGCCAGGTGCCCTCTCCCCAGACATCAGAGACCAGCCCTGCAGTTGCTCCCGGATGGCTCACTGGGAGGGCTCCTGCCTTTCTCCTGAAGCAGTGACAATTCACATCTCTTCTTGTTTTAGGCTGTTCAAGTCAACCCATAGAAGTGACAGCACTGTACTCTTTTCAAGGACAACAGCCAGGGGATTTGAATTTTCAAGCTGGAGACAAGATCACTGTTATATCAAAAACAGATTCCCATTTTGACTGGTGGGAAGGAAAGCTTCGAGGTCAAACTGGCATTTTTCCAGCCAACTATGTTACCATGAATTAATGTTTGTGTTATTTTCTTCAAGTTTACATTATTTTCTTCTTTGAGAACAACAGAAAAATTATTTCTATACTGGAAGTATTTACTGTAAGTTATGTGATGTTTGATATAAGTGTAGAAATACTTATTTCAAAAACTTGATTCAGATTTTCTCTCTATATAAATAAGTGGCTGACTTGATATCTTTAAATACTTTGTACTAATTTTATCACATTTACTCTATAATGATACCTAGCTCCTTTTCAAGCATCACTAAACTTAATTTAATTATTTAGGTGGTAATTTTATTCTAATTTGGGAATCTCTCAGACCAGGCATGAATACCAGTTCTGATGTTTCTGTTTGCAGAATGATTAGAGAAGAAGAAATCATCATATATTGGGTATTAAAATACTACTTAATGAGTAGGTGAACCTTTAAAAATTGTCTTTAGATCAGTAGAAACATACTGTTACAAAAGCTAAACAACCATGCACTGGAAAATGAACCTCTTTCTTTTTTATGAAGGGAAGCTTCCTCATTTCTAGCAGTAGAACCAATTTCTATTGACATGGTTCAGTTCTCCCTAAATAAATATGTTTAAAATGCTGTTAATGTCTTGATTGGTTTTTTTTCTCATTTTGTAAAAATTTGTTTCAAGTAGGTCTGTGGTTGGTCTGGGTTAAAACCCATCTCCACTACTGAGTTCCCTAACTATTACTATCACTATTTTTTTAGTTTTATTGAGGTATAATTGGCAAAATCATAAAATATTTAAAGGGTAGAACCTGAGTAGTTTATAAATGTAAACATTATAAAGGATTCTGACCAACTTAATATATCCATCATAGCTCATATTTACCTTTCTTTTGATGAAAATATTTAAGTTCTATTCTTGGAAATATCAAGTCTATAACACATTACTTTCCCACATAGTAACCAGCTTGTACATAGATGACAGAATTATATGTTATATATAAGCATATATGTTTATAACATATACCATTATACATAATAGCATAAATAATATATTGTAATATAAACGTTTATAAATAATATAAAATAATATTATATAACAATACTATATTAATATATAAACCAATTTAGATATATTGTTTTTAATGTTAATATAATTTATAATATGTGAATATATTAATTGCATATAAAACTATAGCATATATGAATATTGTATATATATATATCTGGGTATGGGAGAGGATATGCAGCTGGCATTGATGGGAGACCATGTACAGTGCCAGGGATCCAACGCCATTCAATCGCGTGCAAGGCAAGCACTGTGCCACTATCCCTGCTTACCCGCTGTACTAGCCTTTCCATCTCTGTTGTAATTTGAGGTTTGTACCATTGCCAACATCTCTTAATTTGCCCCATTCTGGAAACCACCATCTTATGCTCTGTTTCCATAAGTTTGGATTTTTCACATTCCACATATATGTGAGATCATACAGTATTTATCGTTCTCTGACTTTTCCCACTCAGCATAATGCCCTCAGAGTTTATTCTTGTTGTCAAAAATGGAAGAATTTCTTACATTGGTAAAGGTAAAGGTAAAGGCCCTCCCGTTGATCGATTTTGCTCGAGCGGGCCCAGTAACGTCTCCATTGGAGACTTTGTTGTTACTGTGTCTGGCATATCGAATACTCTCGGTAGCTTGCCGGGCTCTCCGAGAGGGGCGGAGGAATCGAACTCGGGTCGGCCATGTTGGCTGCTTTGTAAGGCGAACGCCCTACTGCTGACAATATTTCTCTGGTGTGCGGATCTGTATGGAGGTCGAGGTGGAAAACTCTCTCCTTAATTTTAAAGAATGCCTTTATCCCCTTAGCCGTTGATAGACATTTAAGATTTTTCTCTATATAGTATGTCATCTACAAAGAGAGATAATTTTGCTTTTTCCTTTCCAAGTTTGGCTAACTTTTATTTCTTTTCCTTGCCCAATTCCTCTGGCTGGTACTTCCAGTGACACGCTGGCTAGAAGTGGTGAGTGGATGTTCTTGTTTGTTCCTCATCTTGGAAAGCATTCACCTGTGGACTTGTTTTCTGTATGCTGCTGATATGTGAGCATGTTATTTAATTTTCATATACTAAAAATTCTTACTTTTTCCCCATGAAATTGATTTCTAGTTTCATCATGTGGTTAGAAAAGATGCCTGATGTGATTTGTCTTCTTAAATTTATTAAAACTTGCTTTGCTACTTAACATAGCATTGTAGCACTGTCCTCTCATTGTTCATCGATTTGCTCAAGCAGGCACCAGTAACATCTCATAACAAATTGTGAGACTTGTTACTGTGTTTGGCATATCAATATATGGGTCTGAATATTTAGGTCCATCCTAAAAATGCTTCACTCGAGAAGAATGTGTTTCCCACTGATGTTGTGGAGAATATGTGTTGGGTCCATCTGGTCTAATGCACAGATCAAAAGTCCACTGTTTTCTGATTATTGAAATGTTTTTGCATTATCTCCTCCCAATTGTCGTACTGTTGTCTGTCTCCATTTAGATCTTTTAGTACTTGCTTTACGTGTTTCGTACACGATGTTGGGTATATTAATGTTTGTAATTTGTAGTTCTCTGTGATTAATTCAGTTCTTTATCTTTATATCTGTCTTGTTGCAGTTCTTGGAATAATGCTTTGTCTGATAGAAGTGAGCTGTGCTTCTTTCTTTTGGTTCCCTCTTGCATGGAATACCCCTATCTATTCCTAGACTGGCAGTTCATGTGTGTTCTTAGAGTTCAGGCAAGTCTTTTGAAGGCAGCATGTAGTTGGATTTTGTAAGAACCCTTTCAGCTCCCTTTTCTCTTTTCATTAGTGAATTTAGCCCATTCACATCTGAAGTAACTATTAAAAGGTATGGTCTTACTATTGCCATTTTATTTATTGTTCTGGTAGTTTTATAATTTTATAAGCTGTAATTATTCCTCTTCTTTATTTTTTGGGTTTTTTTGTTTGTTTGTTTTGTTTCCAGGCCACACCTGGCAATGCTCAGGGGTTTCTCCTGGCTCTGTGTGTAGAAATTACTTTGGGCTCGGGGAACCGTGGAGGATGCTGGGGATGGAACCCAGGTTGGCTGCACGCAAGGCAAGCACCCTACCCATTGTACTATCACTCTGGTACTTTTTTCTTTATTGTGTATCTAATGTAGATCTTTGCTTTGTGGTTATCTTAAGACTTACATAAAACATTTTTAAGTAATAGCTTTATTTAGGCTGATATCAAGTGAATTTGTAAGCATAATAAAAATACATTTTATAGCCTTCTTATTGCTTTGTGTTTGATGCCATTATTTTCAATTTTACACTGTACATCAGAGAGGGGTGCCCTAGGCTTGCATTCCTGTTTTCTGTCTGAACAGACTGCCTGTGAGGTGATCTTGCCTTTAACACCCCAAAGTTCCGTTCTGCATATCCTGAAGGCCATGGAAGTTCTGTGGGCTTTCTGCAACACATTTCCCCTGATAAAAAACATTGTATGAATCAAATTAACAGGTAATGTAGAAGGAAAGAGGGAATAATTGGAAAACAAAACTTACACTAAAGAGGAAGAGGAAATTCAAATTTCTTTGAAAAGACAAAATTTGCAAGCCTGGCAAAAAGGATTAAAAAACTTCAGAAGAAAGCAACTCTATCTGAAGGGTCAGGGATTAAAGGGGGCAAAAGACATGGAGGCTGCAGCTTCTGAATAGAGGATAGAAGCCGCAACAGTTGGTGAATCTTGACACACGGACCCACTTCCATAAAGGCAGAGTCCCCATGCAGACCGCGTGCCCTTCATCTTCCCCACACTCGTCTGCTTCCTGCTGTGCCCACTGCATTTTCTCTCCGCGTCTACACAGAAATCACAGCAGCATGGCTTGGACCCTGCTCACTGTCCTCACCTGTCCCCATGGCTGGTGCACTCCACACTTGGGGACAGTGTGCTCACTCCGGGTGCAGACAGCATGAGCTCTCATCAGACATCCTCCCAGTGTCCCCCAGCACTGTCGCAGGAGTGGGGTGGGGGATGGAAGGTGACGTGTTCATTCCCACTGGCTGCAGTACTGCAGTTCATGGCCCTTGGGTGATGTTTTCCTCAGCTGTACTTGTCCAGGGCTCCTCGGGCAGCTGCTTCACGTAGCGATGCTCCCAGTTTTTGAACATGTGCTGTTCTCACTGGTGTGCGATGGCATCTCACTGTCCTCTTGATTTGGATTTCTGTGGTAGCAGGATATGATGAGCACTTTTCCGTGTGCCAATTGGCCACCCATCAGTCTCTGCAAGACAAGTGTCTCTTCATTTCCTCTCTCTGTTATTTGATAGGGTTTGGATTATTTTGTTTATCTTTGTGAATCCTTCTTGGATAGTAGCCCTTTATCTGATGTATTGAGTACAGATATTTTCTCCCATTCTGTCGGGTATCTTTTTGTTTTAGTCCACATTTCTTTTGTCATGCAAAATTTTTTAAATTGATGTAGCTTCATTTGTTTATTTTTGTTTCTGTTATTTTTGTCAGTGAAGTCATATTAAAGCACCTTTGAGACCCAAATCCTGGAGTGTTGTTCTGCCTATATTTTCCTCACTGTGTTTTATGGATTATGGTCTGCTCTCAATATCTGAGATCCCCTTTGAATTGATTTGTTTAAGGTGTGAGATTTGGAGCCAGCTTTATTATTATTGTTTAATTTACATGTGATCATCCAGTTTTCCTAGCACCATTTGTTGAAGAAGCTGTCTTTACTTATACCCAGCTCCTTTGTTGAAAGTCAGTTGGCCATAGATGCAGGAATTTGTCTTTGGTACACAACCCGAATGTGCCATGACAGATAAATGGATAAGGGAGTTGTGGTATACACTGATGGAATATTACTCAGTTATAAGGAAAGCTGAAAGCTTGCAGTTTGCTGCAATGAGGATGAACTGGAGGGCATTGTGTTAAGTGAACTTTATCAGTGGGATAAGGACAAATGCCAGGTGATCTCACTCTATATATAGAAAAACAAAATATGGGGACAGACCGTATCAAACAAGACACGTGGTTGACCTTTGATCATAAAACTCAGGGGAAGGGAGAGAGAATGAAAGGGACGTAGAGGTGAGGGAAGGATGGTGTGGGGGAAGGGTCCTTGGGCACTTTGCTGACTGTGAAGGTGTTAAAACTTTGTATATCAAAACCACAAATGCTAACAATATTGTAACTATATTATCTAAACGATAAAAATATTAAGCAATAAAAAGGAAATTTTGATTCATTTTTCCTGTCAGGAACAAAAATGATGGACTGTGGACCTAACATGTAAAATCTAAAGCTAGAAAACTGTAAAAATA